AAAAAGGAAGGAAATTCTGACACCTGCTATGACATGGGTGAACCCTGAGGACATTATGCTGAGTGAAACAGCCAGTTACAAAAGGAAACATACTGTATGAGTCTACTTAAAGGAGGTACCTAGAGTAGTCAAAGTCATAGAGATGGAGATTGGTGGTTGCCAGGGGCTGATGAGAGGTGGGGAAAGGGGATTTAGTGTTCAACAGGGAAAGAGTTTCAGTTTTGCTAGATGAAAAACATTTTGGAGATTGGATGCATACAACGTGAACGTACTTAACACTGTGGAGCTGTACACTTAAAAATGGTTAAGATGGTAAATTTTATGCTATCAGTATTTTACCACACTTAAATTTTTAAAAATCTCTTCCTTTTTAAGGCTGAATAATACTCCATTGTATGTATATATCATATTTTGTTATCTGTTCATCCTTGGATAGACACCTGGGTTGTGTCCACCTTTTGACTACTGTGAGTAATGCTGCTGTGACAAAACTAAGGTCGAGCTTTGATCCCTGTACTGGCCCGTCACAAAAACAAACAAAAAAACTAAGGCCTTTTAATGTAGGTGTTTTAAAACCTTACTTTTAATGCAATTCATACTAGAAAATGTAATTTCAAAATAACAAAGAGAACAAGGGAGATAGGTATTACATAACACTATTGATCATTTTAGGATTAGGATTGAGACCTTGGACTTGGGCACCTGTTTTCTTGGAGTTAGTCAACTGAGTTAGGTTCTTCATAGAAAAATTTAAGCAAAGGGGCAGGAAAGTGAAAAACTCATTTATGTTTCAGAGGGTCTACATTAATTAAATTAACCCTCTAAGCCTCTAGTACTTCCTCCATCTCTAAAGACTTTGTTAAAAAAATCAAATATTTAGCAAGTGCATGCTGCCTGCTAGGCTCATTGTCTTCCCCGCTGACTTGGGGTGTTTTCCGGCTGGCTACGTGCACGGGCCGGAAGCTGGTACTAGCAATCAGACTTGACTTACCTTAGCTCCGATCTGGTTGCCACACTGGCCGATCTGAATGTGCACGATCTCACGCATCCTTGCTCTGAGCCCAAGTATAAGACCTCCGTGGAATCCTCAGACTCTGGGGGAGCAGCTGTTCACTGGTGTGAGCCCAACACAGCTTTGATCATTGCAGTGGTGGGACCAGCTGACCAAGCTACCCTCCCCATGTGACCCAAGGGTGTGTCCAGCCCAGAGGCCTGGCCCAGCCCTTCTCTGCTCTCTATCATCCTTCTGGAAGGGGGTGGTTTTTCCTTGCCCAAAGCAGGATATTGCCTGGTCATTTCCTAGAGTTAGAGACGGAGACCACAGGCCACTGCTCTGCACAGTGCCTGAGGGCCATCGGCCTTGCCACGGTGGCCTCCAGACACCAGCGCTGGCCCTGGAGCCCGTGTTGTCCTGGCACACCCAGCTGATCTGGACATCTCCACAGGGCTCCCCTTCCAGGCAGCATTGTGCCAAAACCCATCACTTGCCCCATTGTCGTCAGCCATGTCTCCTGAGGAGCCATTGGAAAGCCACTGGCAGCACTGAGGTGACGTTGGGGGCAACATGGATGGGGAATTTTTACTTTTAAGTTGAATGACTTAATGTTAATGGGAAAAAATAACTAGTATGTATAATAGAACAATGATCATGAAAGAAAATTTCCTTTTTGGACTTGGCCAAACTTGTAAGGCAACATGATTCTTAGGAGTTTGGGAAACCACAGTCAAGAGATAAAATCCCGACTGTATGGCCCAACCCCCAGGCCTTGCCCAACCCAGCCCCAAATTACCTCCCCAGGCCCTTTTCCAGACTTGGATCCTCAGAAACCCTGTGTCACCACGGAACTGGAGACACCGCACGCAGGACCATCGCAGGTGGTGGCCACGCACAGCACTGTATGGGTTCTTCCTCCCTCACATGCCACTTCCCACCCTTTCCACAGGTTGCTGTGCCACTGTCCTATGACCCTTCCCGCACCCTGCCCCTGGCTGCCTCCTCAGCGCCCTCCTAGCCCCACTCTGTTGCCCCATGGGGCTTGTCACATTGTCTGGGGTTGCTGTGTGCCAGACACTCCCTTTACCAGGCTCTGAATCCTCTAGGAGCCAGGTGGATTCACGGCCGCATTTCCCGCTCGCCCAGCACAAGGGTGGCTGCACGAGAGGTGCCCAGCATTGGGAACTGGCTCTCCCCTGGTCCTCCCTGGGTCTGCGACGTGCACAACAGCCCAGGTCCGTCACCTCGGACCACGTGAGCCCGCCCCTCCCAGCAGCAGAGCCTGGCCGCCGGGCCCCACGCCAGTGCTGCACCCTGCCCCAGAGGTGGTTCCCCACCGCCTGGAGGAGGTGACAGTGGCACACCGGCAAAATAGAGGACATGGAGCCCCCGAGAAGGAGCAGGGCACTGGTCTGGCAGAGGGACAGGCAGGAGAGCTGCTTTAGGCCCGGTGAGCTCTGGAGGGTGAGGTCTCACTGCTGCGCCCCAGGAACATGAGCAACCACCACCCTGCCGGCACCTGCTTCTCAAGGCCTCTATCCAGCATCTGCAGGTGCCCCGAGGCTGGCCCCATGCATTGAACGGGAATGAAAGAGACAGACACAGGCAGACCCAGCGCCCTTGGAGCTGACTTATTTAAGATGATGGCCCTTGAGCTCTAACAGCTCAAGACATCGTCCCACAGGACATGGACCCAAAGGCGAGACTGAACTGGACTCAGAGCTGGAAGTCCTTGGCTTCCTCCCCTCCACTGCCTCTCACCAGATGGGTGACCTTGGCTGAGGCACCGGAGCCAAAACTTTGAGCTTTAGTCCCATTGGTCCCTGAGGGGTCTGTCCTTCCTGTGCCTTGAGCTTGATCCTGACTCAGTCCTGTGGTCTTTCTTACAGGCCTGGTGGGGCTTAACATGTGAGGTCAGGAACACCAGCAGGAAAGCTACTAACGAGGGAATACCTGTGCTTGCCCCCAGAGGACAGTGAACTCAAGGGACCTGTGCTATCTCCCAGAAGAGAAACCCAGATATGGGGAAGAAGGACTTTGTCCCAGGAGTTCAGGGGCCACGGCCACTCCTCACTGCCGTCAAGTGTGTAGTACTCCAGGCCGACCTCAAGTGCCGACGAAGTGCACCCTGTGATCTCCGCCAGATCTGGGATCAGAGAAAGGGTTGCTGTAAAGGACATTCTTAGGGCGACTGTCAAAACTCTAACATGGTCTGTGTGTGCATTGGATAATAACATTGTATCTTGTTCTGTTTCCTGGCTTTGATCATGGCCTGGTGGTTCGGATAAGTGGAAGTCCTTGTCTTCAGGAGATACCATGCTATGAAGTCCTGTAGTTCAGGGTCGAGTTGTTATGATGACAGCAGCTCACTCTCAATTCAACAACCACAATAAAGTGATAAATGCAGAGAGAGCAGTTAAGTGAAGTGGCAACATGTTAACAACTGGTGGATGTGCTCACAGTACAAGATTAGTACTCTTGAAATGTCTCTCTAAGTTTGGAACTTTTTTCTACTCAAATTGAATGACCACATGATTCACAGATGCTTCTGGTCCAAACGCCTCTTCCCCCACCTCCTCCCCCAAGGTAAAGACAAGAATGTGTAAATTCAAGAGGAAGATATTCATATGTGCTCAGCAATATTTTCCACAAATTAAAAAGTATGTTCAGAACAGACTATTTGGCTTCCATAGAAAGCCCATCTTCCCTCACTTTGAGCCTCCCTCCCATCGTGCCTTGGCCTTTTCCCTCTTCCCTATATCCCCTCAACAAGTCACCCCACCCCACCCCACTCCCCCTGCTTTTCAGACTCTTCCAAAGCTCAAGGGCAGCTCCATGATCTTCCCACAGACAGTTCCTTTGCCAGAGACACCTCTGCCTCCGCGGGGCCAGAGCACTTAAATCTGCAGTCATCACACAGGGGCCTGTCTGCTAATTACTACACACATGTCTTATCTCCCCGCCAGCCTGGGAGCTGCCAGTGTTCTTTCACCTTCGAATCCCCAAAGTGCCCGATCTGTAACAGGGCCTCAGTAAGTGTGTGAGAAGGGCACGCCAACAGCTGGGCAAGTTTGAGGAGCGATGCTCAGAATGGCATGTTTTCTTAAAGTCAATGATGTACTTATTCACGAGTGTGTCCTTGTAATAGTGGGTGGGGACACGGTGCCCAAGGACTTTTTCCCCCATTCCCTAAGAGGTGGTCTAGGTTGAAAGTATAAACTGTTCCAACAAACCTGGACGTCAGAAATGGACTGCAGATGGAATAACCACCATGAGCTATTATGGGAAGCCACGGCCGTGCGCAGCCTGGACCCTCCGAGGGAGAGCTGCTGAAAGGGCCCGTGTTGGCTGCAAACCACCTCACTGCGGGGACCACTGGGCTGGGCCAGAGGGGCATTTTTGATCTTCCTGTGTTCATTCTTTGGTGTATGAGCAGGATCCAGTGTGTTGGGGTCTCCCCTCCCCAACCTCCACCCTGGAGCACATTCCTCGTGGTCATCTCAGTTTGCTTAGGGAGGGGACAAAGCCAGGTTTCCAGATGGGCGCTTAAAAGGTTTTTCTGTTAATGGGGCAATTGGCAAAAAGAAGGTAAAAAAGAGAAGCCCTGTTTGCTTTGATTCCTGTATCGCCAGCAGTGTTTATTCAGTCTGGGCCGGCGCTGGGCTTTGGACGCTGTGTGCTGTGGAGAGGGCACAGGGCAGGCAGCTCCTGGGCAGGCAAAGTTTGCAGGTCCCTGAGCTGAGGCCCAGCTGTGCCACTGAGTGGGGCCCAGCTCTTCCCTCCACCTGAATTTTTTCTTCTGTAAGAAGGGATAACAATCACCAAGTCACAAGCCTGTCGTGAGGACTGTGCACACTGCTGCAGGTGGAGTTTCTCATGTTGGCTTTGCAGGATGGGAGGAGAGAATGTGGCTCTCTGTGTAGACAGGCCCATCTGTTTGCCACCTACAGGTGGAGCATCTACTGTGTGCCAGGCTTTGTTAAGTCACGGGCATGGAGGGCAGTCTGGATTTCAGATGTCTGGGCAGAACAGAGGGGTAGGAAATGCAGCAATTCTGAAAAGCAACCTGTCCCCAGTTCTTTTGCCTTTATTTATGAAGGCACCTGTTCTGCCAAGGAAAGAGCTCTCCTCTGACTGCCAGTTTAGTGCAAGCCAGTGAAGTAGTGAATACGTACTGCCTTGCCCTCAGACCAAAAGAAGTGGCCCCTTTCTGGGATACAGGTGAGCGGTGCCCCTGGAGAGGCTGGCATTACCCCAAGGTCTGTTCTCCTACCAGGCTGAAGGTGACCACCCTCCACCCCAGCCCTGAACTGCAGCAAGTGATTTAAAATGGCTATTTGTGATGAATGAGAAAGTCATTTTCTGCCTCCAGAGAAGGGCCATGGTGAAGGTTAGCAGTGACTGCATTGAAGCACACGGTTTCAGCCAGTGTCACCCAGATGGGCAGAGGGCAGGAGCAAGAACTTCCTCTCTGCGTGCATGGCAGGTGATCCTGCATGGCCGGTGAGGACACCCACCACCTGAGACACTGAGATTATTAACCATGACCAGACCAGTCCTGAGCCTGGAGCACCATCTCTTCCAGCAGGCTGCCACACTAGCAGTCCATGAGAAGACTCGGTTGTAGCAAGCCTTTTCCTGGATGACACTTAGGTCTATTATGGGAATAGAATGAAGAAGATAAGAAAAACCAAGTGTCACCCAGAAACCCCACATCAACTGCTTCCAGACTTCCCCCAGGAGTTGTGTCCCCCACCCTCCATTTGGCAAATGAAATATAATTAGGAGAAAAACAGAGTACTCAGAGAATTCATTGATTTCCTCCACCCCTGGTCTTCCACTTCTGAGTGCATTGAAGTACCTTGAATAACTCAGAAAAGATTGTTGAATTATAGTGCTTGCTTGTGAATCAGAAGCAGAAATTTTTCCAAATGTCTTAGCAAGAAAATGACATCTGAGGGGCCATTATGAGTGACTCAGAGGGTGTGGGCAGACCATCAGATGAGCTGAGCTCCACTTTCTTGAACTCTGCTTCAATGCGTGTTCTCTTAATGGAAAAGAAAGTTCTAGGAGGATGAATAAGTAACTACGAGAGGAGAGGAACTAGGAGGTCATTGCTGAGCTTCATCAAGGCAGGTTACCCAGCTCCACGGGGGTGTTTTTGTTGTTTTTGACCTTCTTCCCCCACCGCAGAAATGCTCATGGTCCCCACACTACCCCAGGCTCAGAGGGCTGTTCTTCGTCCCTGTCCTTGCCTTCTCTTTGGGTACATTGATCATCATCACCCTCGGCTGTGGCATCTCTGATTTACAGGAGGAAACACACACACACACACACACACACACACACCAGCAACAACACCTCCCCTGAACAACTGTGATTCTGAAGGTGACGGACACATGAACCTCCTCAATTGCGTCTTCCCTGCCCGCCAAGGTGTGCAGCTACTGATAAGCAACGTTCTGGGGTATGGACAGAGATAAGCATAACACAAGTCAGTACCTGGAGCTGAAATCAAACAAAAATTTATACTTCCTCACGCCCAGTGTTTGTCCAAGAAATCTCTGTTGTATGAGTCTCAGAAATCTATTTGCTTGCCCAACAGATATTGGCTGAGTACTTTGAGGGACCTCAGGAAAGTAGAAAATAAGGGTCTTGCCCTCCAGGGACTTACAGGGTGATCACAGCACTAGGTTCCCATTCTCCTGGACTTTGCCAGCTTCTCTGCCATGCCTCTCACACATACCTCACCCAGCCTGCACAGCCCTTCAGCTGGGTGACGGCTCTCCCCGTTTTGCAGAAGAAGAAACTGAGGATCATGGGTCTTTGGGCCTCTCTGTCCAGGGGTACCATTCAAGGTGTCAAGTGGCTGATGGGACAGACAGCCTCCAGCTAGGCACTGTCATCATCCTGCCCCTTACCTCTGTCCATAACTGCACCTGCTGGCCCCAACCCCCAGAGGATGCCCCAAGGTGTCTACTCCTCTCTCCAGCAATAGCCATCAGCTTTCTCCTCCTCAACCAACTCACCTCTAACTGACCTGCGCTTGCCTCCTTCCATGTCAATCTTCCCACAGCCACCACAGGGATTTTATAAACATAAATCAGGTCTGGTCCACCGCGCTCCTGGAAACTCATGGCAAGTAGGGTAAAACCCAAACCTCTGACCACAGCTGCTGTGTTCCTCTGGATCCTTCAAAATGCACATGCCACACAAGAGAGGCATGGGAAACCACCTGGGCTGGGACATGAGGAGGGAGAGGTGGGAGGCCAGGACAGCCCTCCCATCAGAACCTGGAGGGGAAAGGGAGGAAGGAGAGGTGGTCTGGAAAGGTCCACACTGTGGGCCAGCCTGGAGGAAGTGTGGCCTGGGCACCACATGGTCCCTGCAGCCTGGAGGTCTGAGTAGCCCTGTCCATGACCTCTCCTGTGACCTCCCAGGGCCTTCCTCCAGTTCATCACACATACCCAACATGTTGCATACCGGGCCTTTGCATATGCTCTTTCTTCTGCTTAAAACATCTCCTTCCAGCTCCTTCTACGGCTATGTTTTCATCATTCAATTTCAACTCATTGGATACCTATGGTCCCAGACCAGACTTTCTCTAGCTCCCAACCCCATCTTTAGCATTCCCCATTTTATCTATTTCCAAGCACTTTCTGCTTCCTAAGCCTTTTACTTTTCCACACGATCCCTCACCAGAACGTAAGCTCCTCGTAGGGCTTTGTTTACTGTTGTGTCACCAAGGTGACAACAGTAGTCTGGCATATACTAGGTGCTCAACAAATACTTGCTGACAGCCTGACATAGAAGGCAAACAAACTGGATCAGGTGAATGACCGAGCGCCCCTTGAACAGACTTTGTGAGCAAGTACACGGTGGTGCTGCAGCTGTCGCATGCCAGGCCACAGCCGGTGTGTTTCAAAGGTGATGCTGATGAGGCCAACCTCATGCATGTGACCCCGGAAGCCACCTTCACTCCTATGCAAATGTGTGCAGCAGGCCACTGTGCCACCTAGCCAGGATGTGACATGTGATGGCGCTTGGGGGGCAGGGTCAGTGGAAAGCCAGACCTATCCAATCACAAGGCCTTCACTGCAAAGGCATCTGGGAGTTAGCATGAGTTTCTGACCCATTGACTGAGGGGATCGAGGAAGTCCCTGCAGCTGGAGAGGAAACCATTGTGCCCTGTAAAACCCAACTTGCCTAGCAAGCACTGTCAGCATCCATCAAAACAAATGCCAGTATCCAGGATGTGGCTAAGCTTGGGAATGTGGGATAATAGGAAATGTCTGCAGCTTGCCGGGGTGCCAGACGGTACTGCATGAAGGAAGAAGGGAAGAAAGGAATCCCGGGCAAGTCCACAGTCAACTAAAACTCATCTATCTGCACCTTCTGCTCCAAGTTGGGAAGGTAGGCTGGTCCGGGCCTAACTGTAAAGTATGTGTATTGTTTTTTATCAGGACAAGGGGAAAAATCAACCATATTTTTAGAAATGAATAGGCTTTTGTGTCTGTGGCCTTGGATCATGTGTTTGCCAAGAGACTTCGTAGGGTAAAAAAATGGGGGGGGGGGGTCAGACTAGATTCAAACCTGCCACTAAGGAACCTGGTGCTGAGTACAGATCTCCTGACCTCTCTAGAGACTCAGTCTTCCCACCTGTAAAATGGGGTGACAGCATCTAAATCCCCCCACCACCACCTCATAGGGCTGTGCCAAGGACCAAATGAGAGCTGCAGAGTCCTCTAGAATACCATTGTCTCAGCCCTCTGCCTCTAAGCACCACCAGGGCAGGAAAGACTCAGTTACCTCTAGGAAGAAAGACTCGGGGCACACGGCCAGCTTCCCAGGCAAAAAACTTTATAGTAGAAGTTTCAGGGGGAACGCCTAGCTCTCAAATACCTGCTTGATTCTGCCCCGGCTGGACAGTGGTGGCACACAACTGCTTATAAAACAGCTGCTAGAAGCCACTCTTAGGCAAGTAGGGCCTCAGAGGTGGGAAGGTCCGTGGCCCTGCCCTGAACCTCCTCTGCTCCAGGCGGAGATGAGTGAGTCACTATCCATGTTATGACCTTGCAGGCACCTGCAGCGGTGTCTGGAGGAAACACACCTTTCAGGTTTCCAAGAGTTCCCAAGCTGCTACACAGGTAAGTCTGCTTTGAAGAGAAAGAGCCCTGGGGATAAACTCAACCTCCAGCAAGCAATCTCCAACAAGGGATCCTGGCCGGGTGGCCAGTCTAGCAAGTTCTCTAAATGTGTCTCTCCTCTTCCATGGTCCCAGCCACCTTCTCACTCACATGTGCCCTTCCGAGAGCTCCTCATGCTGAACATCCTTCACTAACAGCAGCACAGGGGATTCGAGTTTGGCTGGGTTTGTGGCCGCCTCCTTCAACAGAATGTTTTGAAATTTCTGCTTAAAGGGACCCCCCACCCACCCCTGCACAACTCATTAACCCCTGAGTGACACAGCCAGCTGGTTTCTCACAGCAGCCTGTTACTGGGATATGCATCCACCTGACCAGAGCCAAGTGCGGAGGGGAAGAGCCCTGATCCCCTTGGCTTGACCATGCTTGACCATCACAAGGGGCTGAAGAGGTGGACGGTGAGGGAGTCATGTCAGGTCTCCCTTCCTTCCCATTGGCCTGAAAAGGGTGCATAGATTCGAATGCATGGACTCCCTCCCTCTTCTCCTGCCCTGTGTTTCAATCTGACTTTGAGTTGCTTCTATGCTAGGGAAACGCCGGTGTGCCAGAACTCGTCAACTTTGGATGTCCTATTCGTTACCAGCCTGAAAATGTCTCTTCCTTTAACCCGCATTCAACAGGCTAAATCCAGACAGTCACCACACTGGGACTCCGCAGATAAACGAGGCCATGTGATTTAGCCTCAGGAAGCAGGACTGTGCAGGCTGTTGCCCTTGGTCTGAATCTAGCTTGCATCTGACTAGTCAGAGGCTGGGGGCTGAAATGGTGGGGACCAGTAGAACTGGGATCAGGCAGATGAGGCTGTCATCATCAGCCCCAGGGTAAAACAAACGTGGCCCTTGTTCAGCCCCACATTCCACCCAGGTTCATGGGGGTGACTGCAAGGGTCACGTACCCCGCGGCTGGCCCTGCTGTCAGGATACCGTCTACCCACAGTGGACGGATCTGAGAATCTCAGGGCATCTTCAGAGGCTACATCCAGGGCGAGTCCTCCCTCAGGGGCTTCTGTTTCCCATGCTGTACAATGTGTGGTTGGACTTTGTACCATCAGGAGGAGGCATGTAAGCCATCTGCCGACCCTAGCCCCAGGGCCTGCGGCAAAGGCTGTGGAGACCCCAGAGCCCAATGCCTGAGCCCTTTTCCTACAAGAGCAGGAGGCCGTGTGCAGCTCCGCTCAGAGTCACTACCACTCATGAGGAGTGGGAGAGGGGACACCCGAGAGGCTATGAAACCAAGCGCTAGGGCCGTACTTCTGCTTCTGGTTCCTGCTTTCACTGTGAAGAGTTTCGTTAGAAGGAACCCTTTCCAGGCATCTTTGGGAGTTGGAACATGAAACTCAAGATTTATGTGCCAAGTGAAATTTTCCTTTAGGGGTATTTTCTAGAAGGATCCCGCCTTCCCTCTCTGGGAAAGGTAAATGTCTCTCTAGAAAGGACCTAGGCCTTGGGGAAACTGAGTTCAGAAAGCCAGGCCAGGGCCTAATTCAGTGGGGACAGCAGCCTCCCCAGGGCCTCGGAGAGATGCTGGCCGGCCCGAGCAGGCCTGGGCCCGGATGGGACGCTGGGGTCTCTCTCTGGGCCGGGGTCCCACGAACCCAGGCCTGGGGGGGCCCATCCCATCCTGCAGCCCCGCACCCAGCGCCAGGCCCCCGAGAGCGAGTGACGTTCTGCAATCACGGGCTCAGCTCACTCGCGTGGCTGGCGGTGGGGTGGGGTCCGGGGTCCAGCTCTGTGACCTCGGGCACGACCCCGACCTCGGGCGCCCGGGGGCGGACC